GTGGGTCGCAATAAGTAAAATATTATAAAGTAAACGAAAAGGCGAGCTGCAGTGTGACTAGAATGGCGAAATTAAATTTCTCTATTACATGTTTTTAATTTGTTTCAGTACTGTGATAAAAAAAAACTTGTGTCTTATCAGTCAAAACGATATTATCACACTTTTATATGAAATTCAAATTTATCTATTGATCTGTATAGTTAATTAGCAAGGGTGATACTGAGCAATGTTTAGCAACTAATAAAAAAAGTATTTTTCAGCGGTCATGAAACATCGTTTCAAAATTGGCTTTCCAAAAAATCTTGAAGATTATTTTCAAGCTGTCCGAGTTGTTTTCGAATTCACTGTTGCTTATAATAATAATATGTTGTTGGGAACACGCGGACGGACAAAATGTGTTTAACTCGGCGGTTCAAACGAATCTCGATTAGGAAGATACAAAAACAGATAATAAAATAATAAAACGTACTTAAGCGTGACCGATCCGTATACCGTATCTTTGGCAACGCCCAGTCGTTATCAGCTTGTTGATATCTCCAGTAACAATAATAATAATAATATTATATTACACGGTGGGGATGGTAACCGTCGTCGATCACACAAGTGATCATCACAAGTGATAGCTCGTTAGTAACTTATACCATCTTTCATGCATTCAATTCGTGTCCAATTTAACAACCGTAAATCCCATATCCGAAGATTCATTGCGTTGTCCTTTGCACGTCCAAAGTTTATAGTTGACTCCCAGGCTAAAAATATATCCAGAAATATGAACTATTGGTAGATTCGACTCGTGTGAGAGAAATGATATTTTAATACAATATGTATGAAAAATACAAGTTACATAACGGGGTTCGAATGTAGGTAGTATACTATCATTATACAGCTCTTTGGGTTTTAAACTAATAAATAGTTTTAACGTTTTGTGGAAAAAAAAAACTAGGCTGTATTATTTATTTATTAATTTTTTTTTTTTGTTATTTGGAATTAAACCTAGGGCAGTATGATAATATTATTCTAGCAATAATCTTACACTATTCGAGCGCCGGCTGTGGTCAAATTACATAGTAGTCGGGCCACGTGTACAAACCCGGTATAAATTAATACCTTAACCGTCGTCTTTGGATCATAATAACATTACTATGCTACTATAATATTATATGCCTTTACATCCGAATTCTGCCTCTGACCGGTTTCGGCCTAATTGTCATAATACTAGCCACACACATCCAGGAATTCGAAACACAATCGTATCACTTGCTCTACGCCATTAGGGTCACCTCAATATGCCAGCCGGTCATAACAAATTAGAGTATAAATTGAAACGACGTGTGGGTATGGTATGAAAAAAAAAAAAAAATCTTTATAAACTGTGTATTTTCCATAGTTGAGAATCATTCGAATAGAAAATTGTTCTTAATTTTTGACACGGATATGTCTTACGGCTGGCTGGGGTCCGTTCAAGAATGCTTAAGAATCAAAACCATAACGGGACAGTCAAATATTGACATAGCGACGGCCTTGGAGATCGATAAACTGATTCGATATCAATTATTGCGGTAGGTCAGCTGTTGACGAATAGATCACGAGATCATTTCACACCAATGCGATCAAAGCCATAAGACATATCCACATGCGTTATTTTTCAATGATACATATTAAAATGTTAGGTTAGGTGATGATAACACCAGTGATAATAGCACGGGGACAATGATAAAAATTGACATTCTTATCACACAAAAACGCGGCGGCCATTTTCCTTAGACGACTTAATATGACGTCTTTACAAAACGGCCGTCACTTTTTTGTTTACAATGAATACAGATATAATAAATACAATAAACTAGATTGCTAAGTTACTTGCCGGCCAACAGAGACGATTGAAGTTACCATTTTCCCACCATCTTTGTGGGTATTAGAACCTTTACAGTTATGTTTCATGACTGTTATTACTGTTTATAACAATTACAAGTCAAGTCGATAGCGCAGAATCACAAACATATTTATATGTTATATACATTTATATATATATATATATTATTTTATACACAAATAAATCCCACAAAAATGGCCGACGTCGACTGCGATTCTTATCACTAGTGACCCTTCTGGCTTCTATCCGTTCTGTGATAACACCGTCGTATTACTGATTGAAGTCATGGAAAAAACAACATCGATCATGGACAAAACAATAACCGTTCACAAAATGGCAGCCTCCTACGCGTTCCGTATTATATGGAGTTCAGCTATCTGCGCCTTGAGCGGCAATTATTATCGCATCTTGTGCTTGCTATGATATGAAGAGCGAGACGGTAAATCACTTGGGCGCACGCACAGCACCGTTTTTGAAGAAAACAAAAAAACTCCAATACAATTATTGTGTTATTATCGTTAGTTGTTAGTTATTTGCACGCACAAATGGCGATTCGTGCCAAAACACTGTCTCCGCCGACGATCGGCCACACGGTCCTTGTTAGGATTTACAACCCAACGGAATGAACGGTATCCTGTATATACAATACATATTATGTATGCCATCCATTCATCACCGTCACAATTAATTATTTGCAACTCGCCGTTTTCTTCCGTCCCCCTCCTGCTACGCCTACCACAATGTTTACCGAAAATCCATTAAAACGGTTCAATATTGTTGTATACATTAATTGTTGTCGTTGTGCTAGTCGAGCGTGTACTTGCCAAAGCCGTCACACTCGAATGGTGTAGGTCATTTTCGAATTTTGATTGGTCAACTTCTATAGTCTAGTTTCAAACAACATTTTTTTGATATTATAAAATAGCAAAATAATTATAACGTAATGGACTTTCTGGAAAATTAGTGTGTTACGTTAAATTGATCACCTGTATTATACGTTTTCGGATTTTGTCTTTCAAAATATTTTACTTTAACGTTAACCTAACCCAACCTAACGTTAAAACGTGTAAGGCTACACATAGACGATAACATATTGTGTAATTTCCAAGTGATATAATACAGTAAATTATACAATTATTTATCAGATTCGGTCAAAATTCAATTCAAATCATCAAAATACAATTACTTATTGCATTTTTCTGAAAAACGAAGGGTTTTGCTTAGTTTTTTTCGGATAACTATTTTCTTTTTTTCAAAACATATTAAACTAATATTTTTCAGTTTATTTGTCACAACACAAACGTTTCAAGTTGTATTAATGTTTCTCAAATATCATGATCGTATAAATATTATACCAGCAACGATAAATTAACAGATAAACACATAGGCATCACCTTTAAAACTATTGGCTTCGTTCAAGACTAACCGTGGAATGTGCTGAAGCCTTGAGGTAATAAAACGACGGTTAAGTTATTGCTTACTGGTGGGACATACAGCTTATAGCAATAAAAACTTTTGTGAAAACTTTAAAATATATTATAATAGCTCATACAGTGCTTACATGACTAAATATGAGCTATTGAATCGTTTAACGTGTAAATTCTTTTAGTTTTGATTTATGTAAACCGGATTTATGAATTATAATATGTTGGGGTATTAATAGCGCTTAAAACTGGCAATCTAGTGATGCGACCAAACCGTTTGGAATAGAAGAGAGACCTAAAGTGTTGGGCCATTTTTGAACGATTTTTTTTTAGTATTATATTACTGTGATAAATGTACAAATGGAAACATATCAATGTTTCCCGAACAATAATATATATTTTTTTTTCATTAGTGATATTGACCGAAAAAGAAATCCGTTGTTATTTGGTTTAGTCAGTAAGTATGTTTGTAAAAAAAAAAACTTTCCAACCCCTCTCACATTCGGCCCGTTCGACATTATGTCTAAGATATCAGCTGTCGGGTGCCACGTTCAAATACATAAACCGAGTTTCATCATAAACCGTATTCACATTCATTTTCTTTGGTCGGTATTAGAAAAAAAATATTTCCTCCCCAAACAGCCGAGACGGACCTTTTTTTATTCCATTTCAAGCTCATTTTCCACCCCACACATCGCTCATCGTGTATTTACATATAAATCTACAGCAAAGAAACACCAGCGTTGTGTTGTTTAAATATGCATTTGAATAGTGCAAAGCAGACTTTTACAACAACAACAAAATAGTTCATTAATGTAATATCACTTAGATGCACTATGCGACTCGGTGGCCGGATTGATTACACGGTGCGCATACCTTGTGCGATTATAAAGTCTTAGTCAACTAGTGTTTTCTAATAACTAATCGTCGGATAAGAATCTAAAGTAGTTAAAATATTCTCATCTCTTGTCCATTTGCTGATATTATATATTATTATAAAAAGAAACAACCAAGACCGAACACGAATAGGCCAACACGAATATAACACAATATTATCAATATATTTTTAGTGGCGTACACCAACGCTATAATAGTTTATTATTTGTAAGCCCAGTTAATTGCTCAGAAAGTATAGACAAAAATATAACGGTTATTGCCTAAACAGCTTTGAAACTGTTGAAACTATTAAAAAATATTACCGAGCATCTATTAAAACGATAAGGATCAGTAAATATCCTTGATAGAGTGCATAGATATAAATAAATTGAGTTCGCATGTACACACCGATTGAACCTATGTAGTTTTAATATTTTTTAATTAAAAAAAAATATATATTTTTATGTACATAGTTCTTGGCATTTAATTTGATAAAGAATAAAATGACACAAGACAGTAAGAATTAACTAGTCTCCTTTGTCGTTATTTAGCTTCGACGTGGAGTTGAAAAAGTTTTCTTGATTTCCATTGGCAATTCTTAATTGATTGTGATCAAAAACCATACATCAAAGATATTTAATAAAGTCGGGTGTTGATAAACTTCTTTACTTACCTGCCCCACGAAATCGTAAAAAATACCCTAAAAATTAACATGAAAACTAGAAAGTTATTTTGTGACTTAAGCAATAGGTTGTGACCATATTCTTAGGAGTATAAGAATTATAGAGCGAGAATTATAATTAACGTATTGTGTTTTTATTTTTCAGGTGAACATTTCAAAAAACAATAATTATTTTCATCAATAAACGGTGAGTACAACGAATGCATTCATCACAATAGTCTTTGTGTGTACATAACAATATATTTTATATGACTCTCCAGTATAATAATATAATGAGTAGAAATTATTAATTACATTCTACATTGTCTTGTAAGCACTACAAAGGTCGACATGTGAATGTACTTTGCGAGTTTGTCACTTTATTTACATCAAGTGTGTAAACTGGTAGACAGAAATAATTTAATTTGACGGTACTCAACGTGCAATTAAAAACCCATTTAGTCGACAGGTATAACGAAAACGTTTCAACTGTATCAAAATTAATTACTACAACCGAAAATTGTGTGTATTGTTTATTTTTTCTTTAACTTTGCCAAAATTGAGGAGATACTTGGAGCATTATATTATAGTAATTATTATTTTAACAAGGGTTCTGTAACCTCTTAATTATCCGTTAGTACTCACAAAGGAATATACCTAAACCTAGTTAAATTTAATTTCATCACATCATGAGTCTTACCGAGTAATTTCCAATTTACTGATTAAACTATTTTATACTTATTTTTAAAAGCGATTCGTCCATCAAGTAGTTATAATATGACTGTTTTGCGTATTTAGTAATTCTAAATATGTATGTAAAGTCACCAATTAATAAAAGAAGAGGAATACAAAAAAAAATACACAAGATATAACATAGGTGTTACATCCTCTTGGAAATGTATAATTTCACTTAATTCCATCGTTCTTAAACGTAACATTAGGTATGGCCGTCTAGCAGTGAATAAAGCTTCTCCCATTTTTCCTAAGTATAAGTGTTGATTCAAATCGCTGATATTAACACAAACCGTCAGTTGTTTAAGGATAAAATATAATATTTACTCAAGAAAAAACTAATAATCGAATATTGAGTAAATTTATACATACAAAAATTGTAATTAATTATAAAATTTTAGCGTTATCAATCTGTCACGTTTGATTTATTTGTCTCTTATCAGCCGATTTGGTTATCAATAACAACAATCAAGGTTAATAGATAAAATCTGTCTATTAACCTTGAATAATCTTGATAATCTCTTATCAGCAATCCGGAGATTATCGATTATCACTTATCTCCATCCCATCCCTCTGCCCTTTCGCACTCTTCCATTTTACCACCTCCCCTCTCCGTCCCTTACATTTGTTTATTTTGGCTAGTGCGGGCCCGTTATGGGCTGAAAACATATCCATGATTCAATGTTTTCCTGTGAAACGCGAAAAATAGTGTTATATTTCCAAACCTAATCTAATGTACAACTTTCTTGACGTACCCTTTTCCTTTATTTTATTGTTTCCCAGATTTCCCAGCGATGTGTGAGGGGATTGAGCGTACTTCTCTTTGCCTTACTCCTTCTCCCCCCCCCCCAGTCTACTAAATAGATACTCGTGGTCGTGAAAACGATTTTTGCGTTTCCAACTGATAGAATAATATTATATTTTATTTTACGGTCGCGTTCCTGGCGCAAGACCAATACGACTTCTTTATTATATTTTTTTGATTTTGATTTCTCTTTATCGCACGTTTTATATATTATATTTTTATATGCAGCGAAATGAAGACAATGAGCGAAATTATACTAATATTCGTTTATTTTTTATATATTTTATCGCACAAAAGAACTGTGCATCTTAATTGCCTAGTTAAACTTTGCCGCCCAATTCAAATCGAAAACACATCTAAATGGTCGCCACTGCAGTTGACAAAATTCCAAGACAATTTTTTTTCTCCATTCTTATGTTAGAGCAATTAAAAAAAATATACATATTAATTAAATTCTAGCTTTCCATCATTGTAACGGCAGCTAAAAAATATAAAGCGGGCGCACAACATAGCCCTTTTTAATTAACTGCACAGAAATGCTTTATTAGGTATTTTAATTATTTACAATAAATTAAGTACCTATTATAAAAATGGCTTCGGGCGACCACATACCATATTATACCTGTACCGAGTTTCTGAATGAAATAATGGTCACCGAACATATAGCTGGCCGCCATTAATTACCTATGCAACACGCGCATCTTATCTTTTGTATCTTCAAGTACATTCTGCATATTATTATTTATATATATTTATATATATATAGGTTGGTAAGTGTAATTTATATTCATTCAATCGACAGACCAGTGGCCGCAATAATAATAATGTTGTATATTTATTATGGAAATGCAGTATATTGTTAATTATAACAATGCCAATCGATCGACGGTGCATACGAGGGTACTTGTCTGAAAAAGGTTAATGAACATTTCAAAAGATTATGCTTATTATTCTGTTACTGTGTTCATTGACATGAAGTAAGACATTCATTAGTAAAACACAAATAATTATTTTACAAACTTCTCGATACACAGTTGGGAACGTATGACTGTTAAATATTTGTATTGAGTATTACAATTTTAATTAATATTCTTAAAATTATGGGATTGCTCTAAAAAAAATGTACATTCTGAAAATTTGTCCGTCAAGTTTTGTGACACAGTGCTGACGTCATTATGCATTATGGAGGAGGAGCATGGAAGATTATGAAGGAGTATTAAGGAATTATAAAGGAATACTATGGAGGTGAATTAATAATAGAGATGGTGGATTAGAGCTAAGATATTAGAGATAATAGACTGCAGGACATATCCGTGTATTGATGTACCTGCATGAAGTGTGGATACTCTTAACTTTTTGTACTCTGGTCTGAACATTAAGCCGATGGTTCATCAAGTGTATGTCTAAAAGTTTTTTTTTCAACAAAATTCAACAGCTTTTTTATCCAGGAAAACACTGATAACACGAATTTAACCACATGTATTGCTTGTATAGTGTTGGGTATTGTTTTTGAATACTTTAACAGGTTCGCCAAGACGTTCAATAAACAGACCGCTTTCAAACCACATAAGACACTCATACCGAATGTATGTAATTTTGTAAAAAGGATGGGTCTCGTAAATTTGAAGCTAATTTTGTTACTGACCTCGAAACAATAAAGTTTTAGTGTATAAAATACATAAATAATGATTTGTTATTTAAAATTTTTTAGTAAAAGACCTGCAAAATACCTACTGTCGAGCTGACAAGTAGACCTCGTGGGACGTGAATTTTAACCGAGTGGTCTTTATGGTTTAATGTAAATATATGTTTGCGGTCAACCGTGAAAAAACGTCCGCAGGGGGTTATGCCATTTTTTTTTCTTAACGACTGGGTGGAACAAGTAAACAATAATTATAGGTACCTACTTAAAAAGACATATTTAAGCTGACGGCAAAAAAAAAACCATCAATCGACTGTAATAGAATTTTACTGTATTATTTAAATAATATTGTACAGAATTCGTTGAATTCTATGGAAATTTCACGATACCTATTTGAAAATAATTATAATGATAGTTTTTTTTATTCAAAAGTTATTTAGTACAGTAGCCAAGTACGGTTGACTAAATAATATGATGATTGTATCCATTAATTTTACCAATAGAACGAGAAAGCTGTTGAAAAGAGGCATTGTTGGTGTTTATTCATAAATCGTTTTTACGTTACCGAGGAACTGTCAAAACTTTAATGTAACAAAATAACTTTTCATAATATTGAAGTTTACCGAATGCACTTAGCTGTTGAAACAACTATATCATCTATTATTTTATAGTTACTGGATTGTAATCTTAATCTAAACATATACTATTAAAGAGAGAAAATTAATTGGCCATAAATATAGATAAATGGTTAACTTAACATTTAATTTTATTATTAAAATATTTTCCTTTATGAACTAGTATTTAATTGTATTTAATATATTTAATAGTTATTGATTGAATTGATTCTTTTTTTTTTTTTAATTGAAATTATGTGCCAATATTGGTAAAAAGTTAACCGTTTTAAAAATGTCAAGACATCGACATGGACTTCTAAGGTTAAATTTTTATTTATTATTACCCTTTTCGGTTAATCGCGTTGGGTATAATATTTTCTAATAATTTCTGTGTATAATTCACTTGTAACCGTCAAGTGGTGTACGCTTAATTTAAATAAATCTCTTGCAACGAAAATTTGCACCGATTAGTTTACCTTGCCAGTTTCATCCCGAAAATAATTACCATAATATATTATAAATATCCATGTTGTTTGAATTTAATTCATTCTACCAAATTAAAAATAATAGTCTCATAAAAACAAGACAAATATATCAAAACTTGTTCCCTTTTTTTTTTACAGGAAAATTATTGTCCAATATTTGGAGATGGCTCGAACTGTCTAAAAAAAATATTAATTAAACCTCCCTAATTAATTATATGGATCATTGTTGATTATTAAATGCTTTGAGAGTTCATCCGATGTCTTACCTGATGATTTTTTGCTTGGCAAGAATCTTATATGAAATAATAAGATTATACCACTCCCCTTGGGTCTTCACAGCGAGATCATCAGATTGCTAGAACTGAAATCACATATAATCCTCATCTATTTACCGATTTATCGATCCACCTTTTTTTTAATTTCTTTTCAATTATAAAAAAAATAGAAATTCGATTACAATTTTGATAAATCAACCGACGCGAGTGACAGCCCAATTGGAATTTATCTCATACCCAACTAATCTTATTTTGTAAAATATACCAAACCATTACAAAGCGGTGGCCGCACTCGAATAAAGAAGATTGACAAAGTAAAATAATCGAATTTAAAAAACATACCCAAAAGTAAAGCAGTTAGATTAATATTTAAATTTACTTCAAATGTCTATAGTTGGATAGGACAAAGTGAGATTGCATATAATTTTTAAAAACTACATTTTAGTACGAATTAATAAGTTTTACCCAGGTGTTTTTTTTTTTAAATACTGTAAACAAATGTTTGAAACCGCTTTTTGACTTTTTACAAACAATATAGTTCTTTCTTTGACGTACTTTAAAAGCATTTTCCTGTGGCAATATTATTCGTTTTGGGATAGGTCGTCAACTTCATAATTCTAGTCACGAGTTATAACCTAAGTTGTTCTGTTGTGTT